GTTTCAATTTAAAAGGAAAAATCATGATCACATTTTTTATTTCATAGAACATTAGGATAGTATTTTCATAACAAAGAAGATACATATCATGCCTTTTAGTAGGCATATCAGCACTGGGCAGGATGCCAATTTTGTGTCCTCCTCTAATTTTAATTGTTCCGCAATCTGTTCCAGAGGAGTGCTTAATCCTTGAACTAAGTTGCCCTCTGGTGACATAGGAAAAAGACATAGGATCTAACGTATGCATTACGTTTCAGATTGGAGCTAACAAGTCTTAAGTCACCTAGTTTAAAATATAGAATTTAAGATATCTGAACCAAGTAAATGTCTCCACTAAAGGTACAGTGGGGTCTTGACTTAAGAATGGCTTGAGTTAAGAACATTTTGACTTAAGAACCGCTCTCATAGGAAAATATTGACTTGACTTAAGTACTTAGATTTGAGTTAAGAACTGAAAAAAACCCACGTGGGAGGCAGGGAAGGTGCAAAAAGTGAACTTTCAGTTAACTGTTGGCCAGTGAAAAGGGTGCCTGTCTGCTTCCTCACTCCGCCCAGCGTTTAGAGAGTAGATTGGGAGACAGTCTTCAGACTGCCTGGTCCTGTACTGCCTGGACTGTATTTTCCCTGCCTTCCCTGAACCTTTCTTGACCTAAGAAAAAAAGAAACAAAATATCCCCTCTAGTGGTCGAAGGCGGAATAGCAGCTTCCCATTAGTTTCTATGGACAAAAAAGAGCAGATACGGATCAAATGGTTTTCAATGCATTCCTATGGGAAATGCAGATTTGACTTGAGAACTTTTTGACTTGAGAACCGCCTTCCAATACGGATTAAGTTCTCAAGTCAAGACCCCACTGTAACATCCAAAAAGCAGTGTTCTCAAAGTTGATTCCTGCAAAGACAACCATAGCATAATGGTTGTGGCAAGAGGTTTCTAATTCCAAATCCCTTGCATTCATGCTCTTGCAAAAATACATAGTAGGAAGCATGTCGTGTGCCTCTTTTCTGCCTATGCTGATACCTCACCAGTCTTTCTTAGCATGTGCTGTAACTGTTTATAGTAGCCTGAGACCAACAGGCCTTGCTTCAAGACTCAGTTAATGCTATTCTTGGCTGTTTGGGCCTGTTTAAGTTAATCATCTCTCTGATCTGCCTTTAAGAACAATCCCACTGGCTCATTTCAACCTTTTGCGTAGCCTTCAGTTTTACCCTTTCTTATAATGAACAAGCTTAAATCAGTGTTTATATTGTTCCCAAATTCACATCCAGGAAGCTTTGTAGTAATTAGGATAACCTGAACAACCTCCTCTCTTAAGATAGGCTGCCTCATACCTCCAGAAAAAGAGTGGTTTTTTTAAGCTATGTGCTCTTCGTTTGATTTATTAAACCTTTTTGCCTTATGTCTAGCAGTGCCTGAAGCCACATATATATGTATATAAAGATGCCTATTCCTTTTTCACATCTTCTGATCACTGAAAAATGCCAATACATTGGATCTACCAAAGTGATCCTTACATTTTGTGACTCAACTTTTCCAAGAGCTTCTAATAGAGTCTAGCAAGCTTCTTAACATCTTGCATTTTCAGGTACTTTAATCACCCTCCAGTAAATACCTTTCTGCTACTCTGGACCAACTATTATATAGTGTATTTGTATGGCATATAGCGTGCTTGTAATGTGTGGCAGTGTACAGGATGTTTTATTTTCTTTTCCAAAGGAAAGCATCATACGGACACGTGAAGTTTAATTTTGTTTCACTTTTTTCTCTTCATTTCACATTTCTAGAGTTTATTGCATTGATGTTACAGTTGTGACATTCTGATCTTGTTAATTTGTTTGTATGTTTATGGAGTTGGAGAAACGTGTTCTATTATAGTTTGAGAAGCTACATTTGGGGAAATATAGTTCATTTCCATAGCCTTCCATTTTCGCTTTTTTGTGGAACGTTTAATAAATCCCAACAAGCTGTTAGAAGATACCTCAAAGTACTGAAAGATCTCTTGCCTAGTCTGACTGTAGGAATGCTGTATCCTATACGTATTTAATAAATGTGCAGGAGCCTTAGCTGTAGGGAAAGGTCCTGTTCACTACTGATTTTCTCTTTAAACTACTCCTAAGAACAAAAGCACAGCACTCAGTGAATAAAAGGGAGGAGGAAGGGTAGGATAATGATAATGATAGGTCATTGCTGGGCCTTTCCAGTAAAATAGTTGGCACTGTAAAATCTTTATATCTACCTGACATAGATGTACTAAAAGTTTAAGGGATGTTGGACTTGCTGTCAGTCACAAGCAGAACCTGAGTCTGTATAACTACAGAAGGAAAAAAAACAGCCTCATGCAATGTTAGGCTACTTTTGTAAGTCACAAGCAGTGATATTTCCATTTTATTGTGGACTCTTCCAAATGCATCTGGAGTACTGTATTCTGTTTTGGGCATAACATGTTCAGATGTTATGATGTGTCATCAAGTCAGAACTAATGGGATTTTCAAGGCAAGTGAAATATTAAAGAGCTTCTAGTAGAGTCTAACAAGCTCCTTAACATCTTCTTGCATTTTCAAGTACTTTAATTACCCTCCAGAGGGTAAGAGCCTCGTGGCACAGTGGTTAAACTGCTGTACTGCAGCCAAAACTGCTCACAACCCCAGGGTTCAATCCCAGATAGCCGGCTCAAGGTTGACTCAGCCTTCTATCTTTTCAAGGTTGGTAAAATGAGTACCCAGCTTACTGGGAGGGCAGTGTATAGCCTGCGTCATTAACTTGTAAACTGCCCAGAGAGTGCTTGAAGCACTATGGGGCGGTATATAAGCAGCACGCTTTGCTTTATGGGAGTGGCCATACCACTTCCAACTCCCCGCTCTGTGCATTTCCATGACCAAGTGAGGATTCAGATCCAGGTCTCCTGAGTCGTAGTCTGCAACACAGCATGCTGAGTATCAAATATGTTTAGAAGGATGTAGATGAATTGGGCTCTGTTTATAGGAGAGCAACTAATTTGGTCAGCTATATGGAAAACAACTCTTATGAGGAAATAGATATGTTTAGCATGGAGAAGAAAAGAGAGGATATAATAGCATTTTTCAAAAACATGAATGATTTTCACAAAGGAGAGGCCAAAGACTTGTTTTCTGTTGCTTCACAGAGCAAAATGAAATTATGTTTTCCCATCTCAAAATGTATGAGGGTTGTCCAGGCAGTAATTTCACTCCTGAAATTTCACCCCACCAGAGAAATAAGTGACCTCTTCCTTGCAGTAGAATATGTACAACCCCTTCTAATAAAATATAAGTATGTGACAGTCTTTTCTAAGTGTTGCACCCTCTCTGCTGCCTTGAATAGCTTGATATCTAGTTTTTTCTTAAAATATAGGACACAAAGACTACAAAATCCAATGCCCTTCATATATGTAACCTGCCAAAATTGAGGATAATTCGTCATGTATCTGTTGAAAGTGTCCAAGGTCTTGTTTGTCTGTAAGGTGCCCTGAGCTTTTGGTTTTGCTGTGATGGATGAACTTTGCTGCCCCTCTGTTAGTTTTGGCTGTACTGTGCAGGTGTAGAGCAAGATGCATATTACTTGACACCAGGACATTAGTGTTTAGGTGCCTCTCTGGCAGCATGGAGGCAAACAAAAAGAATTGGGAATTTGTTTAGTCTTAGTAGGATGTTCGCATACGTTACAGAATGAAGATGAGCTGTGAACATGTCAACAGAATAGACCCGGGAGAGGGGAGGTCTGCAGTACTTGACTTAAAGTAGACAAAATTGCGTAATAGATGTATAATAGATGCTTTGGCTTAACGCAGAAATTAGAAGGTGCTGCTTGAGTAAAAAAAAAAATCCCTACTGTGCAGGGAAAATGTAAGGAATGCTGGTTAGAAGCAAGATGAACTTCTTGCATGCTGTTCATATGCTCCTTGTAACCCCATCCCACAAATGTAAATGTGTTGCTGCCTTTAAAATACCACATGAAAATGCCCTTTCTTACTAAAGAAAAGGGAAGCAGTCTAGTCATTAGGGTACACTGCTTAAGGTCAATATAGTGCATAAATGGTAATAGCAAGAATAGTATGTTATAGTATTCTTTGCATACACGTATTGTGTATACCAGTGCTTCCCAACCTTGGGTAACCCAAGTGTTCTTGGACTCCAGTCCCAGAAGCCTTCACGACCAGCTGCACTGGGCAGGGTTTCTGGGAGTTGCGGTTTAGGAAGACCTGGGTTATCCAAGGCTGGGAAGCACTGGTGTATATGATGGGTAAACCAATCTGTAGAGTCAGGATGATGCAGCAGTTCAAATGTGGGTGTAGGGGGAACATCTTCACAGTCACACTTATGTCCCAGTGTTGCTTTGAGGATAAAGGTGGAAGGAATAGAGCCAGAGATTATGTAAATACAGAAATCGGAATAAATACAAATAATAATGAGGAGTCTCTCTTCACGTATCTTCTGGCATGGTTTAAGTCTGTCCTCCTGCAGGTATACAAGTTAGTCTGGTATATGGTACATGGTATAGCGAGAGACTGTCAATTTAGTCTGATGTTCTTGAAAGTGCACATGGAGTTGGATCATCATATGTGTCTTGCTGGCCTTTTGAAAGAGGTATTTTTAACCTAGCTGTTGACAGAGTAGTATGAGTGAAAATGGGGATAAACTTGGAATCAGCCCTTCTGTGCAAGCACATATGTATGTGTGTATTCACACACACATGCACTTCCTTGTGTTCTTCCTTCTCCCAAGTCCCATACTATGTGCACATAAGAATTCTCTTGCATACTGCCTTGCCAGAGCTCTTTGCGATCAGAGTGCAAAAAGAGGAAATAAATTCAGAGCAGGAGTGGATACAAATACAAAAGAGACCCAGTTTGTCACAGGAAAACATACTCTTGCGGTTCATTCTTCATTAAGTTCAAAATTTGAAAGAGTCTGATACCAGTTGAGAGTCTTATTTTTCTATTACAAAAGTGAGTAACTTTTCTTTACCTTTTTTTTTCTCAAATAGAAAGCCCAAAAAGGAAGAACAGCTCAGTGAAGAAGCTGCCAAGGTGATTTCTAGCCTTCCTGACTTATCTTTCATGCATGCCAAGGTGTTGATGTTCCCAGCCACATTAACACCTTCCACAAGTTGCCAAGCCAAGGTAGACTAAAATGAATGGAATTGGACAACTTCTATTGATTCCTCCCCTAGTCCCCTTCCTGGGTCCTATAAAGTGATCTTGCTTTAATGAAAAATTCAAGTTCAGATGATTTGTTGGTAAGCAGCACTAGAATGGTATACATAGTTATGTATATTTATTTACATACTGGAGTCCTAAATTTATATTAGAAAAAAATGTAAATAACGGGCAGATTGAAGCTTTTTTGGAAGATTTACCCTTTTCTGTTGTGCTGGGGTGTAAACATTTGTCTTTGTGGAATACACTGGTAGTGTCCTTCTTACAAAACTTTATAAACATTTTTTAAATGGAACTTCTAATTTTTGCTCATCATGACATTTCACTCATCCCCTCCCTATGAATCACTTGGCTACCCTTGATTAAAATCTTTTTACTGAAGCCTAAATGTTTCAGGATCTTTCAGTGCTTTCTTTTAAGCAGACTGAATTGTCTCATTTTCATCAGACTTCATGTGGCTTTTTCAGTTGGGGGGGGCTAAGTGGTCGATTTTTAGCTTTTTGAATTCTAGCACTATGGATTTATCATCATTGCCTTTCAAGAGGTTTACTCTCATTTTTTTTAGTTAAGTGACAGATTACTGCCTAGCCACTTACCGTGGGAATCTGTGTACTGATCAATTTGGTTTGGGATAGAAGGACCAAAGCTATCTGAATGTCTTTTAATGAAATATACCTGTTACATTTTCTTTGTTGTACCACTATTCTTATGTTTGATTTTGCACAGTGTAAATTTGACATAATCATAGATTGCTATGGTTTAGGCTGTATGTACAGTAAAACTATGGGTTGTAAATGTTTGGGGAAATTCCTATGGAAAAAGAGAATGCTATGTAGAACAACCTCTGATAAGGTTTATGTGCATGCCTGAGGTCTTTTTGAAATTTCAGTGTATAAATTTCCTCTTAGCGTACACAAAATAAAAAAAAATAAAGTTATATAGTCTGTTAATGTGTGCAGTAATATTGTTCTCCTGATACATTCAGTTCTGCCAAACAAAGAGCAGAAGAGCTATTTTCCATATTCAAAGAAGAAATAAATTTTGATCACCATATGTCTCACCAAAGCACACCCTGTAGATATTTGAGAGTAACCTGTTTTTGTGTCTAGTTGATCAATATGGTAATGGTTTTCTGCTGTTTGCACAGAACCTATTTATGTAGAATTGAAGTGATCTGGAATGTGGCTGGAGTGCATACTTGTTCATCCACAGAACTGTCTTTCTGTTTGGGACGTGGGATGAGGGCAATCTGGATGCTTCTTTTAGTTTCTTCAGCAACCGGGAAGAAGTGTAGCTACTGGAAGAAGAACGGTAAACTAATACCACGGTTTGTAGAAGCAGCCACTTCGTCTTTCCTTCAGTAATTTCTTCTGGCTGAAGATATTAATTGTTATTTACTGTAGTTGTTAAGTTGTGTCCGACTCTTCGTGACCCCATGAACCAGAGCATGCCAGGCCCTCCTGTCTTCCACTGCCTCCTGGAGTTGGGTCAAATTGATGTTGGTAGCTTCGATGACACTGTCCAGCCATCTCGTCCTCTGACGTCCTTTTCCCCTCTTGCCTTCACACTTTCCCAATATCAGGCTGAAGATATGCATTCCGTTTAAATACAAGGGATGGAATCTAGTAGTAGTAGTAGTAGTGAGAATTTGTGGGGAAATATGATGATGATAAAACTAACATATCAAAGTAGGACCTCAGCCAACAGGTTCAAATGACATGAAAGGAGGTTTGGACTAAAAGTTAGGAAGAACTCGTTGATGCTGTGAACTGAAGGGCAGACTGCCTCGGAATTTGGAGGATTTTCCTTCCTGAGAAGTTTTTAAGTAGAGGGATACTGGAACAATAAATTTCTCTCATTGAAAGGGATTGGACTAGGTATTTTTTGAGGTCCAGACTAGTTCTACATATTAATATTGTGGCAATATTCTTCAGCCCTGCAGTGTTCATACCAATTGTGTGTGTTTGAAAAGGAAGGGCTGACTGATTTGAAAACAAATGGGCTTTTCTGCAAGATAAGAACATTAAATAACTTTTTGAATATGCCTCTCCCCTCCATGTCCCTTGTATGCTGTTAGATATTTGCTATTCCGTTGTTTCTTTGCCAGCCAGGATGAGCAAGAGTTGATGGAACACCAGCCTGCAGGCTTCAGTGTGGGTGCCACCCAAGGGATAGTGAGTTGTGCAGGTGAAGACATGTGGGATGCAGGGGGTACAAATGGATGTACAGTGGGACCTTGACTTACGAACGCCCTGACCTGCGAACAACATATGGACAGCTCCAGCCGCAAAATTTTGCTTTGACTTGTGGCTGGAGCTTTGACCTACAAACAGAAAAAAGACGGGGGGAAATTCAAATTTCTAACTATAGGTGGTAAAAGAGGCCAGGTGAAGACATGTGGGATGCAGGGGGTACAAATGGATGTACAGTGGGACCTTGACTTACGAACGCCCTGACCTGCGAACAACATATGGACAGCTCCAGCCGCAAAATTTTGCTTTGACTTGTGGCTGGAGCTTTGACCTACAAACAGAAAAAAGACGGGGGGAAATTCAAATTTCTAACTATAGGTGGTAAAAGAGGCCACTTCTTGGTAGCTCTTTTGCCCCAACAGTTAGGTTTTGACCCTCCCGGACCCTTCCCAGCCTTTCTGCACCCCCGTGCGGGCCCACTGGGGAAAGAACTGCGTCCCCCCTTGCCCTCCCGGACCCTTCCCAGCCTCCCTCCACCAATTGCCACCTTCAGGCTTTCCCGGGGGTAGACTGGGCCTACCAGGGGAAGCCCTCCCCTGGTAGCCCCGGTGTACCAGGCTTTCCCTGGGAGGCCTCTGAAGGCGGCGATCGGCAGCAGTGGGGACACCCGGGAGGTCTCCCATGGCGGTGGAGAAGCCCTGGCCCAGTAGTGGCGGCTGGAGTCCGAGAGGCTTTTTGGCAGCAGCGGCAGAGGTAAGGTGCTGCTTTTTGCTTTTTAAACTTTTTTAAAATCTGGCTGCTTTTTGCTTTTTTAAAACTTTTTTTAAATCTTTTGCAAAGTGGGATTGTGTTGGGGGGGTTATGTTTCTGTTTATTTTGGGATTTGTTTTGTTTTTTTCAGCCCCAGGGGCTTGCAGTGTTTTATTTTTTATTTTGGGGGGTTATTTTTTTTCCTTCGGCCAGAACAGATTAATTGGTTTTCAATGCATTTCTATGGGAAATGGTGCTTTGATTTAAGAATGTTTTGACTTACAGCCATTGTTTCTAAGTCAAGGCACCATTGTACAGCTAGAGGATCTTGGCTCTCTTCAGACATTGGCTGGCTCCATTGGCTGAGTTATTTGAGAAATTACCTCTTTTACTTTTTTATGTATTATTATTTGTTTGCCATTTAGCTTTTTCATAAATGATGCAGCTTAAATCCTGTTTATCCAAAGGGCATTGGGCCTGCATGCTTCAGCCTATCAAAAGAGAGCAGATATACTTTACTATCCTGATGTGGATTGGGTGTTTATTGACTTTACTTAAAGTGGAAACCACTGGGTTTTGAGAGGCAGTGGAAATGACCAAAATTTTTCATTTTTATATCTGGGGCACCATTTTTCTTATTCTTATTTTCCCCCTCCCCAAAAAATAAATAAATGGTTATGAAGATTAGACTATTGGATGTCAATATAAATGTGAACTGAACTTCAAAAAGTTCCCTATACACCACATTGAAGGTCTCTCTCTCTTTTTTTTCCTTTGTATAATGTTTCTGCGCAAGGGGAAAGCTGTCTTTCCCTGCCACTTTAAACTCAGTCACCGTAAATCTTTATTAGTTATGACCAACAGGGCAGTATAACACAATGCTGTAATGCAGGAAACTCCTGTGTCACAGAAATAACCGACTTTTAACACTTTATGGAATATATTTCCAGAAGCTGATTATTCACTGTTAATATTGGATACCTCACTCTGTGCTTTCCTTATGCATTTTTGTAATTTTTATTTCTTTCCATTTGTAAATTCAGACTTCTGCATGATAGTAGCCCATGCTTTTGGCCTTCATTAAGGGATTGGGGAGAAAGAAACTTCAAAGCTGGTGCTACAGCTGTGGCAAAGAACCCTCTACCTAGGGCTTTTGCTTGAGAGTGTCAGAGGACAGTGAAGGTTCAGACATAGATAAACTGTTAAAGGGAGGCTAGAGGGAGGATGCCAGCTGCAACCGGAGCTTTTGTCCTCCCACAGTTGTCTTCAGTGGCAGCTGTCTATTCGTCATGATGTACAGAGCTGGTGACCTAGCAGAACCAGGAAGAAAGCATGGATGGAGAGGTACCTGCCAACTAGTATTCCAATGCTGACTACAAGCTAAGGGCCATCTATCCTTCTGAAGCCTTACTAAGTTCTATAAATTCAAGGTTCCTAAAATGATTCATATTTACAGCTCTTTGATGACAGCATGTTGCTCCCGCCTTGTGCAACTTTTCTTGGTCTAAGGTTCCTCTTGCTCTTTTTCTAATTCCCATTCCCCCATAGGATGGAAGTCATTCTCATAATTGTTCCTTTGTTGTCATAAGCTTAGCTGCCGTTTCTTTGTCATGCAGACAGGTTTATTCTTACACAGGTATTGACAGTAAGAGGAGATTGGTCAGGCGTGTGGTCAGTGCCTACAACAGACAGAAGCAGCTGGCAGCCCAAGAGTTCAATCTAGCCTGCTTCCAGACACTTCTTCTGCTACCCGGCTCAGCTACTTCCTCCCACTGAACCAAAAACAACATCGAAGAACCGTTTAGCCTGTTCCTCTACACTGTTGACAGAACCAAGGTGCTCAGAAACTGCTTTGTTATATGCTCCCAATCACATATGTAATTTGAGCTACATGCAGTGCTGTCCAACGCTGTTGTTCTGTAGGAGGGAAGGGAGCTTGGAGGAACAATGTTGACTTCTAGGAGAGACAAAGTGGTAGCTTTTTTGCAGATATGAGGGGGAAACTGTTGGGGAGAAAAGAATCACACTTGTCTGATTTGAAGCACAATCAGAAGACATACACACCACAGCCCAGTGTGAATGTCTTCTTCCTTTGATTCTACAGTTCTCCCCTCATAACATCATATGCTTACCCTTATTTTTCCTTATCTTGGTTCATGTGTGGGAGCTGAGGAGCCTAATAAGTGTTTCTTGGGAGATACAAATCACTTTGCTTGTATTTCTGCTTGTGAGCCAATAGGTGTTCCTTCTATTGCTTGCCATTCAGTCCTTGCTCAATTCAATCCAGAAGTCTAAAAATGTGCTGTTTGCTCTGCACCTTTTGCTCCAGTCTCGCATAAATATGGACATGCTCCATTTATTCTGTAACATTTCCAAATGTTGCAATGTGCTCAATGTCTTGCATGGGTGGTTGGACAGTAACAGAGCTTGTGTGAAGAGGTATCTACTACTACTCATGCAAGGCAAAATCGCATTCACATCAAGGGGTGCATTCCAAAAGAGACTCCGAAACAGAGACTGCAGAGCCGCCTAGAGTGGTCGCAACGACCAGATAGGTGGGATACAAATAGATTGGATGGATGGATGGATGGATGGATGGATGGAAGGATGGAAGGAAGGAAGGAAGGAAGGAAGGAAGGAAGGAAGGAAGAGCTGCTTACATGCAGATAGGCTTCTTTTAACATTTCCCTCCCTCCCGGCCAAAAGGCAGCAGAGGAAGCGGGGCCTTGCTGTTGACACAACTACTGGTTTTCAGGGAATAGTGCCACCTTCTGAGACCAGTTTCTAACTCCACAAGGGAATGAGAGCATGATGATAGTAGTTAACACCCTCATTATTAAATGACAGTTTGTGTGTTAGCTTTTTTGGTATATCATACATATTATGATATACATATTATGTTGTGAAGGCCGACAGCTATACATGCTGCTTTAATATAACCTTTTAAACATCAAAGTTCAGTTTGTTTCATTGGTGCATCCCTGTCAAAAGACAAGGACACCTGCAAA